ATACAGATATAGTTTGAGTGTCTGCCATATGGCAAAGAAGATGGCTGTGTAATCTTCCAAACAGGCTATTTATGTCATAAAGCAGGAATTGTTTGATTGAGCTGTTGCCTCTTCTCTTCCTGAATTGTGCAATATTTTTACAAGGAAAAAACCCAAATTACCAGATTCACTTTTTGGTTGCAACTGTGTAAAATTGCTTGGGTCCTGTGGTTTGATACTCTTTAGCTTTGTTCAGATTCTTAAATATTTCCATAAAAAAATGACTGCAAATATAATGCTTGATTTATGTTCATTCTTTCACATAGAGATGTTTTGAGAGTCTCTGTTACAGATGAGTGATAAAGTCATAAATACTTTCTCTGGTTAAAAGCCTGAGGATTTAGTGAGAGTAACCATCTCTTTTTTTTTTCCTCCAGAGATCTGTTAGTTCAGGAGAATATTTTGTGCTTTTAAATTTGTTATCTGGCAGCGTGCTGAAGTGTTGTGAAATACTAAATATTGTTTTTCTTTTTTTGTTTATAAAAGTCTCAAACGAGGAAGAAGGCTCAATATATTTGCTAAGGCTTCTCCAGAAACAGAAAATGCACTGAAAACAGGTTAGTGGAAATTTTAATAATGAAAAACACAGTGAAGCCAGGTTCTGAATTTTTAGAATATTGGGAGATTCACTGTTGTGAAGGAGATTTGTGATCTGTTAATAAATCTGAAAGCAGAAAGTTATCAAAAAAACTCTGAACTTTAATGTAACTGATTGTTAGTAAACAAAACTTCCATGCAGTGTGATAGATTAATGTTTTCTGTATTAATCAAGAGATTTTGTCACTGAAATGAAGGTTAAAACTGGCTTTTTTTGTTATTAAGACCAGTCTTTCTTCTGTGAGTGCAAAACTAGCCTAGAGAATGGGTATATTGGCTCCAGTGGCTTATTTGGTCAAGTTGCAAAGCTGACACATTCATTTTATGGCAAAGAAACACGAGGCTGTGACCCCAGGGAAACAAGTGTGCCCTACAGGTGGCTGTGGGCATAGGCAGGGCAGGAAGAAAAACCACCAAGACCATGAATTTGGTTGCTTTGTGGCCTTCTCTTGCTTAGTGTTGTATATACAGCTTGAAAGATCCTGTAAGTGGCTGACAAACAATGCCTTACTTTACCTGCTTTTAAGCTCTTTATGCATGTTTAGAATCAGAATGGTTTGGGTTGGAAGGGACCTCTAAAGGTCATCTAGTCCAACCCCCTGCAGGGAGCAGGGACATCTTTAACTAGAGCAGGTTGCTCAGAGCCCTGTCCAACCTGACCTTAAGTGTTTCCCAGGCAGGGACATCTACCACCTCTCTGGGCAATTTGTGCCACTGTTTCACCATCCTCAGTGTAAAACCTGCTTCTTCTATCTAGTCTAAATCTCCCCTTTTTTAGTTTAAAACCATTACCCCTTGTCCTATCACAAAGGGCCCTGCCAAAAAGACTATGCCCATCTTTCTTATGCACCCCCTTTAAGTATTGAAAGCCTGCAATAAAGTCTCCCTCTCCTCCAGGCTGAACAACCCCAACTCAGCCTTTCTTCACAGGAGAGGTGTTCCAGCCCTCAGGTCGTTTTTGTGCCCACTCTGGAGCTGGACACTGCTCCAGGTGGGGCCTCACCAGAGCAGAGTGGAACAGCAGAATCTCCTCCCTTCACCTGCTGGCCTTGCTCTTTTTTTGAGAAGTTGGTTGGCCTTCTGGGCTGCAAGTGCACATTCCCTGCTCACGTTCAGTTTTTCCCCCACCAGTACCCCCAAATCCTTCACAGGGCTGCTCGCAATCCCTTCATCCCCCAGCCTGTCCTGATTCTGGGGGTTTCCCTGACCCAGGTGTGGGACCTTGCACTTGGCCTTGTTGAACCTCATGAGGTTGACGTGGGTTCACTTCTCAAGCTTGTCCAGGTCTCTCTGGATGGCATCCTGCTCCTCAGATGTGTCAACTGCACCACTCAGCTTGGTGTCACCTGCAGGTTTGCTGACAGTGCAGTCACTCCCACTGTGTTGTTGCTGAAGATACCAAGCAGTACTGGTGCCAATGAAGGACCTTGAGGGACACCACTGGTAACTGATCTCCATCTGGACTTTGAGCCTTTGACCACCATGGGTGTGTGATCATCCAGCCAGTTCCTTACCCACTAAATATACCTGCCAAAACTTGTGTAAGATCAAACAAACAAAACAGCACAGCAGGATAGTTTTGACCTATCTTCACATTCACTGAGTGGCACAGTGACTTAGAACTCTATATAAAGGCAGCAGTTGCAGAAGAAATAATATTCTTCTCTGATACCTTAGAAAATGATCTCTCCTTGTTTCCATTTCAAGAGCAGGACTGTTAGTTTTTGCCAGATTCCAGCAGAGTAGTGGTGTTTTTTTTTTCTTTACACTTGAAACTGCAGGGAGAAATTAATCTGTTTACTTAATTTCTTTAGTAAAAAGTCAGATAGTGCTATTTGCTTATTTTCCAGCAGCTATGAGCTTTCTGAATGCAGCTGCCTCTGTGGTAGACTATGAAAGTTGCTCATTAGGATGGAATTGAATTTCCTGCTTTTTAAGGCTGCCAATTTCCTTAAAGGCAGCCCATATTAAGTAAAAAAAAAAAAAATGAATGAATGATGTAGCATTTGTTTTTAGCTATCTTGAAAAAAAAGGGGATGTTCAAGTAACTGGTGTTTCAGTTGAATCAAATTTACTCAGGTAAAATGGTGATAATTTTTAACTTGTTTTTTTGCAGAAAGCAAAAAAATAACAAAAAAAAAAAGCACAAAGCAGACACAACAGTACATAGTAGTCACCCTAGATAAAAGTTGGTACACATTTTTTTTTTTTAACAGAAAACTGGAATGTGTACAAATTGTGCAAGAGAGCAAGTGGACTTTATTAGATCTGTAATTAGATATTAAGAAATAAGCTTCTTTCAGCTTTTTATGTGATATTTCCATTCTGGATTCCAGGTAACCTTGAGGAAACCTACAACACAGTGTAAGCCAGGAAGCTTATTACTTGGCTTGCTAACTAAGCCTGATGACAAAAATTCTTCTGCATTAGTCTTGGGAAATACCAGTGTGATACTTGATACCTTGATTCATTTCCTTTCACTTTCTTGGCTCATATTAGTGGAGATAATGAGTTTATACTTACATATGTTTATACATGACAGAAAAGCAAGTTCTGTGTTATGTATTGAATATTTATTTTGCAAACCTGTTAACTGGAAAGTAAATTGGCCTGCTGAAAAAATAGTCATAACTGTTAACATAAAGTATCAGTATTTTCTGTTTCACAGAGGTGAAATAGATTTATGATTTTTACTGTAAGTTTGAAATTATGAGTTCCTGCTGTCTTCTATTAAGAGATTTAGTAGTAGTGCATTATTAGAAGTTATTCTTTAAGATGTGGACAATAATTTCCTTCTGGTATGGTTTCTCATGTTGGCTTTTATCTCTATTTTATTCCTGCCTCCAGCCCTCAATCGAAGTAGGCAACTAGGGATTATAGTTCTGGAAACTTCCCTGCTAAGTGAGAAATAACTTGAAAAAGTAGCTTCTGATTTAACACAAAAAATGAAACCACTTTTGAGTATGTGAAAACACTTTTCAGTATGTAAAAGTACTGTTTGCCCTTTCCTTTGGTTTTTTTCTTAAAGGAGAGGGGAGACATATTTCTTTTTTTAAAGTCCAGTTGAGTTTTAAGCCACTGAGCCAAAGATCAAATTTTATCTTAGTTTCAAATACTTAAACTTACAAGTAGTGAAATAATAGCTGATTGGCCATTATCCACTTAAAATGAACTGTAACATTTGAATTCACATCAAGATCTCTGTTCTGAGGAGCTTTGGGTGAATTGATAACAGGGAGAGACAAGAAAACAAAGGGGAGCACAACTGAGGCCAGCTCATGAGACAGCAGCAGCCCGAGGCACTGCCAGTGGTTCCTCCCTGTCCTGTGGTAACAGCTTGTTCTCTTCACTTCAGTGATGCATCCAGCCTGGGCTCATGACCAGTTCTCCTGGGTGGAGGGGATGAACTTCTTAAGAGCAACTCTGCTGCTGTGCAAATACACTGTGATTTAAAAAATTAAAGAATTGTATACATCAGGAAAGATGTATCCCTAAAAGGACTGTTTGGCTTTGGGAGAAGAATGGGAAATTGGAATTTACCAAGCTGCAGAGGCAAAAACCAGGATGCTGATGACTGTTGAGGAAGGGATTGACATCATTTGTAGACTGAGTTGTCTTCTTGAAGGAGAGTATAGTTGTGAAGTACCTGAAAACTCCTGTAGTAAGCAAGAGTCCTGTAGCAGAATGCACCAGTCAAGTTCAGAGTTTGTTGTGTGCACAATTTGTGAAGACAAAAAGGAGGAAAAGATTGTGGAAAAAGTTAAATTTCTGCTCCATGTGAAAGGCTTAAAAATAAATTGTCCCCTAGGAGTTCAGAATATGTTTTTACCAGACATCTGAGAATTTAATGGGCTTCCATTTCAACAGACAATTCTTTGAGAAAGGTGATGCTGGCATCTGAGGTAGAAAAATTTGGACAGCTGAAAGTATTAGTGTCTGTAAAGGTGAATGCTGAGGGACTTTGGTTTAGCTGGTGAGAAGTTCTTGGCACGCTGACAGATTGACAACATTTCTTTTTTAGTATCTTTGCCAACAATTTGGGATCTGGAGTTTGCAAAGGAGATTGCAGCAATAACTGCACAGCCTCCCCGAAATGGTTTTGAGGAGATGATCCAGTGGACAAAAGAAGGAATACTGTGGGAGTACCCCATTGACAACGAAGCTGGTAGGTGAACTGTGAACTTTTATTGTCTATGTTTATCTTTTTTTGAGAATTGGAGCATGTTCTGACCTTTAGCTGTTTTATCATAGTGTTTCAGCTATGAGTCATGCTCAGTAAACAAATAGCAATCCTTGATAGTAAACAAATGTAACTTTGCAACTGTCCCAAATCAGAGATGCTTCAGATGACCTTAATTCTGGCACTCTTCAGGTGAAGTCCTGCAGGTGGTTTGGCTGCTCTGAGGACCAGCTGCTGCCAGAAAAGGGGAGAACTCCCTCCCTCCCTCCGCCCTGCTGCTTTCAACACCCAAAGACCATTCAAATCTATTACATAATATCTTTTACTGTGCAACTTCTTCAAAGAAGCTTCTAGCAGAGGATGGGGAATGCTGAAACTGCTGTGAGTGGTTTCTAATGCTGATTCTGTTCTTTGGTGTGGCTTGCAGGCCGAGTGGCTAGCTGGATCCTGATCAGCTCTCTGCCAGTCCCCTGTCTGAGCCAGCTGAGTGGCAAACAGTTGTTTGCTCCCTTTGTTCTATCTGTTTCATAAGAATAAGCAGTCACTACTCTGGGCCTCTATCTTAACCAGACATCTTTGTGCAGGCTATTTACTTTTATTACCATTTTGTATTGTTTTTTTTTTAAAAAAAAAAAGCTCTCTGTGAAGTTAAGCCAGCAGAGAGAGAGAGTGAATGTTAAGGAAGGGAAGAACAACTACACAAAGTAAGTGTACACTTCAGGAAAGGGGACTTCATAACTTCAGGGAGAGCTTGGCTGTGGTTTTTTTTAAAAGACTTTAAAGACATCAAACAGAACGACTTTAGAATGATTCAGTCACTGAAAGCAAAACAGGTTAGTATCTGAAGCTGGGAGTCTTTGAAAATCTGTCCTATACTGAGTTGCAAATTGCATAATGTGGTTCATTGTTTCTTAATGTTTATTCTCATCCCATTTTGGCAGTTTCTTCACAGAATTTAATCGCTGCTGCCAGAATTGATCTGTTCCATCATGTAGAAATGCGAGCATGCTCTAGTCATGTTTTTGCAAGCTGAAAACCACTGTGGCCAGTGGGTTTTGTGTTGTTGTAATGTGGCTGGAACCCTGCTGTCTGGGGCACTAAGTGGACCAGGCGTCTTTGGTGGCCAAGGGTTTTTCTGTTGCAGCAACGTGGCCGGAACTCTGCTGTCTGGGATGGGCTGGAGAATGGACAAAGGGTCTTTACATATCCTCAAACAAGAATCTGTATTGATTTGTCCACAAAGTCTAGTCATGTGGAAAATTCCAGTGATGTGTTCCAAAACCTATCACCTCTCAGGTTGAAATATCAAGTCAATGAATTCCATCCTATCAAACTGCCAGGCAGAGGCTGTTCAGTCAGAGCACAGTTCAAAGCATGAAAACCTCACTCCAGTTCTATCAGTGTAATGTAGTTTCAGTGAATGCAACAGACAGATGCCCCTTCCTGCTGTTAATTTTGCAGTGTGGTAAGTCATCTCACACAATAGGAGAGGGAGCTTTTTCTGTGTCAAGAAATGTGTCACTTTTCTTTTATGCTACAAGCACATGGCTTTAAAAACGTAAGCATAATTCCATTTTCTATTGAGAAAGCAGAGAGACTCAACTTTTAGCATTATGAAAGCCTTTAAATGAAATTAAAAAACCCAAACAAACCCTTATAACTGTTTTCCTTTGTTCTGGAGCATCTCTGGTGTTCTCGTTCGAGTGCTTTACAAGGCACTGTGCTGTGCTTTGAGGCATCAGGGCAAAATCATTATATTTAAAGCTTCTCTGGCCTTGGTGTGAGCATCTGAAGACAGGGCTAGATGTGCTGGCTTGCTGCAGTAGCCAGCAGCTCTCTTCCCCCACTGCCCTGTTGTCTGCTCCTGCCTGCATGTCCTTTCCCTCGTCTGATGCAGCTAAAGTCACTGTTAGGCTGAAAACCACCTTTCTTTCTCTCCATCTCCCTCACCTCTGATTAAATTTTACCAGATTAGCAAACCATTAGTGTAGCTTCTCACTCCTTCCTTCTTGTCTCTTCTACTCTGTGACTTGCCGTGGCAAAAAGTTTGGGAACATGTTGATTTCTACCCCTTTAAAAAAATTCTGTGCATTTATTCCTTGACTCAAGTCCTGAGGAGGGCAGTCAGCTCTTCTACTCTGTGACTTGCCATGGCAAAAAGTTTGGGAAAATGTTGATTTCTGCCCCTTTAAAAAATTCTGTGCATTTGACTCAAGTCCTGAGGAGGGCAGTCATCAAAAAGAACAGTGCAGATTATTGGTGCTACTTTGATCTAGCTCCTCATTCTGAGGAGCAAATGCTTTGGGAGGACCAGAGATTGTTACAGCAGAAATGACAGACAATGGAAGTCTGAGAAGATCAATGCCTTAATTGCCTCTGATGGCTCCTGTAAGCAGAAGTTCACCAAGTCCTCTTCTGACTGTTTTGCTGAGATGCTGTTCCAGGCAGAGCAGCATTGGATCAGTTTGCCAAGAGAGGTGTCAGAAGTTACACAACTGTTGCAGGGGAGGATCTAAATCTGGGTCTGTTGTAGGGATGTCCTGTAAGAGTATGATTTATTATATTCTGAAAATCATAGAATTATAGAATGGTTTGTGTTGGAAGGGAACTTTAAAAATCATCTAGTCCAACCCCCTTGCTATGGACAGGGACATCTTTCACTAGATCAGGGTGCTTGGTCATCTTTATATATTTTATATAGTGTTGATGACATAAAATATATATATATATGTATTTTATGTCATCAACACTCCCTATAAGGATGGACATCTGCATTTGAGATGTCATCCTTAAGACAAGGTTGGTCATGTCTTGGCAGAGTTAGTTTTAGCCAGAGAAACTACCCAGGCCACGTAGCATGTAGGGGATTGGAAACAGGGTATTGAGAGTGGGTGGATTCTTGCTTTGAGGTTGATAAAATCCTCTACTTTAGACTCCCAGCATGCATGTTTTCAAATTAGGTTTCTAAGGGCAGTGCAAGAGAGGCTGAGGAACAGGCTTGTTCTTCCCCTGCAGCAGGAGTTGCAGCTTGCTGGGGCTGGGGGGAGTCATGCAAGCCTATCTCATCTAATCAGTTCCCACCAGAAGTCTCAGCCTCTGATGCTCTGGGCAATTGTGGTCTCTTTTTGTGATCCACACTTTGCTTTTTTGAGGACTGAAATATGTGGTCTAACTGAAATGCTTGGAGTTAACACTTCATCCCCAAACTGTCTGTCGTGTCTTTGACAAGGAGATCAAAATGCATGATGTAGTATTTCCTTCTGACCTGCAGTTTTGTGAGGCTATCAGTTATTTAGTTTCTTTTAGGTTGGAGGTGAAAATTGGTGAAATTAAGAATGAGATATAGTTTCTCCTGATACCCTGTATCTATCCCCAAAAGAAGAGCATGCAGAAGGGCAAATACTACTGTCAGCATTATTCAGATTCTTTCAGTAGTGGGTTTATTAGTTTAGTTCTCTTGCACTTTTGTAGCCAGCAAAAATATGGAAATCTGGAAAAGATGTTGGCTTCTGAAGACAACCAGCAGCATCTAGGTACAGTGAGATTCCACCTTCCCTTGGTGGGAGAAAGTCAGTGTAGGGGGCATGGTAGAAGGATCATCTCTGTGCTTCTCTTCAGTGGCCTCAGGTCTCCAAGCAGGAATACACCTTCTGAGGCTGATGTGACCTTTTATTTTTTCCCTTTAAAAATAAAGGAAAGAGAGCTTCTGAAGATGATGTGCTTTCTCTTTCAAGGACAAGGGAAATAAATGTGGCATGTAGCTGGCATTAATGCACTCAAAGATTTCTAGGAAAAATCTGTGGAACAATCACCATCTCCTTCACCTATTGCAGCACCTAAAGTTTAAGATGGGAAAGAAATCATGTGAGCTTAATGAATAGAAGCTGAGAGACTTTTCCATCCCAGAGATGTGCATCATTTCTTTTGAAACTGTAGAAGCTTTAAGGCAGGAGGAAGCCTTGGACTGACATAATTAACTCAGTTTTAATACTCCTGATTTAATGGTGTCAAATAATATATCATATCCTAGCTAGCAGAGAAAAAACATGTACACTAATAGTGTAGATTCCCACTTTTGTCATCTGGAAATGTTCATATTTGTTATTTTTGTCTAATAACAGATTATTACTTAAAGGTGCAAATGTCATTTACAAATCTGTAGCAAACTGGGATCAAATGAAAATGTTCATGTATTCCTAACTGAAGCAAAATCTAATGGCAAATCCTGGTTTGCCTTTGTTTTTTATCCCAGAATTGGGAACTGTGAGAGCAGCCTTTTTACTCTGTGTAAGGATTTGTGTTCTGAGTCTTCATCTGGTGTCCAGTAGCATCACAGTGTGAGCAACAGCAGAGGAAATCCACAGGACAGAGAAGAGAACTGACTGTAGGGTCTGAGCTGTGCTGGATTAGGGATCCACAGGGATTCCTGTCCACGTGTTCTGTGGATGCTTTTGAATGCATCATCTTCTGCACTGGTTAGAACTTACAAGTAGCAGCTGGTGAGATAGGGAACATTTTCATGTCAGTGTACACTCACAGGCTCAGAAAGTGTCAGAAGAACAATTTTTTTGTGCTCATTTGATAGCAATAAGATGTTAAAACTGTGGCTTGGAGTGAACATACTGTGTGTGATAGCTGTTCAGCATCAGGTATGTCATGAGGTTGCCTCAAGACAAGTTCATATTCTTTAATCCTCTGCAAAATTTAGGCAATCAGTGTTTTCTCAAAGAATTTAGGAAGAAAGTGTCCCCAATTTAAAAGGTAGCACCCATGATGAATCAAAATCTTCATGTATTTAACAGGTTTTTAAGAAAATAGATTTATTTTTTTTTTAATATTCCCCCTGCTTCTGCCCAGGCATCAACTTTCAATGGGATTACCAGCCAGAAATTGAAGTTAAATATTAAATATTCTTATAAAAGAGTCCACAGAATGGAACTAATGTGGTAGACAGGAGTATGATACGTTCTAACATTTTTTTTGTGTGGAGGGAGAAATTAATATCTTAAAATTCTGCAGTTTCTTCGTTTTCCCTGTGCACAGAGTATTAAAAGGCACAGAACCATTAATTTTACTAATTTAAGGTTATTTGCCAACTACATCCTTTCTTACTTTCTTAAATTTGCTTTTCTCCTGCGATAATAACTTTGTCATTTCTTTGTCCATCCTGTTAGGAATGGAGGATGATGCTGAATTTCATGAACACATCTTCCTGGACAAACACCTCGAAGGCTTTCCCAAGCAAGGACCCATTCGCCACTTCATGGAACTGGTCATCTGTGGGCTGTCCAAAAACCCATACCTCAGTGTCAAACAGAAGGTGGAACATATCGAGTGGTTTCAGAAGTATTTTGAGGAAAAAAAGGAATTTCTTCAAGAGATTTGAGTCTTGGGAAGGTGCTTAACTTTGAAATGAAAAATCATTCTGTCAAAGTGGATGGTTGCTTAGAATGGAATACTGTCAGGGCATAGTCATCATGAGACCTGGAGGTTGTATTTTATACAATAAACTGACAGGTTGTACTTCCATGTGAGTATGCCCATGTATATGTGGATGTTTTTTGACAGCAAAGGAAGGAAATTAAAAGTACAGCTGCTGTACAACATGCATTTAAAATTTAGTTTACCAATTTGAAATTAATCTTTTGACTGTACAAAACAATAGGTCTAAATCCACTTCTTGCACCCTTCACACTTGGTGTGTTTCTTGACAGGCTTGTTCATCTTTCCCATTCTGGAAAAGCTGCAATACTTTCATTTTTAAAATCTCCTGATACAGCTCTAATTTTGAAAAGCTGTTATGGAAATGGTAACAGTTCATTTTGCTAATTCATTCAATACTCTGGTATTTGAATGATATTCATCCTTTCTGTCCTCTTTTCACTAATTATTGGTTAATTTTAAAATCTTTGAATGAAATGCTTGTTAGTTCATCTGCTCCATGTGAGCCTGTTGTATTCCTGGGATGTGTGCATGGCATCCCACTGGTGAGTTACATAAAATAATACAGGGAGTCTCTCCTGCCATCCCATCCATCCATCCTGAAGCTTTTGACCAGCTTCCCATTGGTATTTGTTGTTTAAAAAAGGGTTGGTTGTCAAGTTAATTGATAAACAAGCAGTTTTCTGATTGCTGTGGTGCTGGGAGCTGAGGGACCATCTCCTACCTCTGCAGGGCCAGGAAGGACAGAGAGGACTTGACGTTGCTGATAAGAAGAGTTGTCTCCTGCAGGCTGCTGTCACATGATGCCTCTGCTGTTTTCTATCTAGTCCTCCTTGGTGAAGTACCTTCATACTTTCTAGATGATCCTTTAAATAAATGTGCATGGTCCTTTGTAGCTATTAAGCAATATATTTTACTTCAGTTAGCATTTGTTAGATTTTTGTCCAGAATTACTCACCTGGTCATTCCGAATCCTGGGTTAGGTTTTGCTGCTTAACTTCCCACAGCATTTCCAGCCTCCCCTACTGTGTTCTTCCTTGTCTCTCACATTCACTCCAAACACTAAGCTGTTGGCCCTATCAGTATGACCCTATCTTCTTCTCACACTTCCTTGTAACATGAGCAGGAGGAGGAACTTAGGAAATGCAGGTAAAACACTGGCTTCATAGGCAAACTGATTTTTAAGTCAGAATTAACAAGAAAGCAAATGAAAAATAAAGAGCTGGCCTTTTTCTAAGAGTTGGAATATTTTTGCTGTGTTCTGCTCATCCACAGGATGTGAGTTTGCCTACTCAGGCTATGGAAAGGAAAAAAGCAGCTTTTTGACTTTCTAGTGGTCTTTTTTGACTTGGTTTTTCTAGCAGAAAATTCTACAGAAATCTTCAGAGGCATCCTGGCTTTGGAATGGAGAGAGTGAGAATTATATCCAAGTACCTCCAGCTAGTTACTAGGATGGTTTTAGGCTTTGATACAATGCTGAGATAAGTTTTATTTCAAAAATACCATTCTTCCCAAATTTCTACCAAACTGTGGTGCACAGCCTGCACTCTGCTGCACTTCAAGCCTTTTCTCAAACAAGGTATGGTGGCTTTGAATTCACTGTGGGCTTTTAGAAATGGCTCTTCTGTGTATTTGCATCTAACCTGTGCTCTGATACAATAGACAGGGCACTCACAGGCTTGGCTCTTACCAGAAGAGGTTCAGGAGCATTAACTGTGTAGGAAAGTACTGAATTTCTCAGCCCTGGGAGCAAGGTGCATGCTATCATTTAAAGAGATTCATTAGGAGGTCAGTACTTCAACAAGCTCTTAACCAGAGCTCTTGGTGCTTAGGATCTTTGGAAAGCTGTAGTAATTCCTACTTAGGTGCTTAAATATAGATTTGAGAGTTAATACTAGGCAACAGGATTTGAATAATCAGACCTAGCTGCTCTTACATACAGGAGGCTTTACTGGGACTGCTCAAGACACATTGAGAGAGCCCCAAGTGGCATGAATTCTATGTGTGTGGGTTTTTTGGGGTGTACACTTCTTGGTAGTCCTCAAGGAGTAGGCTTGCAGGAATTTAAAGCATTGCTTACAGATTAGTCACTTAGAACTATAAAAATCACCCCTTTTCTTTTGCAGCCCAAAGGATAGAAGTTGTCTGCTGTTGTTCCAAGTGGAGCAGCTAGTGATGTCCACACTGGAGTTTGTGCTTTTCTGATGATGAATCATGTAACTGGTTAGGTGGTATTGCATGGAACTTAAGGGACTCAGCCTCAGGGTTTGTCCAAGGCAAAATAGTGTTTCTTACCTTCTGTGCTCTTAGTTCCTTCTTTATGCATGGAGCTAAGGTCTTGCTAATGTTGTGAATGATGCTCGTGGCTTCCCCAGGTTGGCTGCTGCACTGTGAAGAAGTCCAAGCTCCTTTTCATTACACCTGGTGGTTTCTATTTTCCACCTGCCTGGTGCTACCACAGCAGTTCCAGAGGTACCATCTGTCTCAGAGGTGATGGAGGCACTGGTGCAGGTAGAAGACCTGGCAGAGGGCAGCAACTCTGCATTGGCAGAGAGAGGGAGGAAAAGGGGGAATGCAGGGTGCCCATATGCCTTGTAAAGGTGTAATGGAGGAGTTCAAGGCCCAACATTTATTACCTGCCCATCTCTGTCCCTTAGACTGCTTTATTTCTGCTTCCAAAGGACTGATCTTGCCCTGCCCCACCAATGGTGGAACTGATTATCAAAGTCAAGTTAAATTCAAAGCACTTGCTCACAACCTGGTCTGAACCCAGCTCTGTGACTGCTCCCCCCTAACTGGACAGGTCAGAAATTAGGCTGGAAGAAAATCCAAGCTTCTTGGGGATGGTCCCTTACTCAAAGAGAAGCACAGGGGTGAGTAGGGTGAAAACCCTGTGAAAGGCTGAATGATTGATTGTGTTAACACAGGGGACCTCTGTGAGCTGTAGATGTTAGCCCCCTTGGGCTGTACACCAGCCCAAACCTTGTCTCTGACATCAGACAGCCCCCTTGATCTTCTCAAACCTATATGATGTGAGTGGTTTGATAGAAATCAAACTTGATGAAGCACTTTGTCACCTGCTATGGAGCAAGTGTGTGTGTTTGCTCACCAGTGTGGCATTAGGAAGAAGCTGGAGGAATGGTTGTGTGGCTTGCTTGCAGGATTATCTGTGCTGGGATTTCAGCCCTTGGTGTTAACCCTTACCAAGCAATTACACTGTGGCATTGCTGTGACCTGTGCCTGACAGGGTTTGTGCTCCTTGAGCACTTAGATGAGTGCTGAAAGAACTGCTGAAAGTGGCTTAATTTAACCCTTCTGACCTAGCAGTGAAGCTAAAACAAATGGGGTGAAGAGGGAGGAAGTGCATCCTCCCAAACCACAGGGATTTTTTGCTTAAACCATGTGTTTTTACATGAAGAGGTGCATTAAATATGTCCTGGAGTGCTACTCAGGTCCATTTTCTTCCAGAGATTAATAAAATTCCATCATGAAAATCGGTCCTCATTGGAAACTTGTGCTTTGATGAGAAGCCTGAAACATGATGGCATTTATACAAGGGGGGGCCATGGTATTGCTTTCAGTGAGGATCTAAAAGTAAATAGTCTCTTTTTAGTGGAATTTGTGAGGATGACTTACCAAAAAGGTGTGTGTGGGTAGAGAAGGATGGTCTCTGAGGTTGCAGGGCCTGGTTTTCACTGTGCACACACCTGTGGGTGCTTTGGAAATCCTGGTGGCCACTGCAGTGACGTCCAACAGGACACACAGCAAGGGTGGAAATCCCACCCTGCAGAGTGGCTGCAGCATTCTGGTCTCATGATCTCCACAAGATGTCAGTGTAGATTTATTTGATTAGATACACAACCCTTTTGCCGTTCCCCTCGGCAGATTAAAGCAAAAACTGTTCTAGGGCTGCACAATGGGTTTGATTGTGCTCTGGAATGTGTCACCCGTGGAGAAGCTCCATGGCAAGTGCTGGTGTCCCTGGAGGGGTGCGAGTGACACCCCAGAATGGGAGCAGAGCTCCTGGCAAAAAAGGGGCAACACTTCGTTCCTCTCAAAGTGCCCCACTCCCTCAGGGCCGAGCTGCATCTCTGTCATGTGCAGTGTTGTGCTTGTGCAATAAACTGCTCTACATTTTACTCAGGAAAAAAAAAGCTGGCAGCCTGGAGAAAAGCTAGAAGGGGCAGCCTGGGTGGCAGGAAGGATCTGAGGGTGGTTGGGTCAAGTCATGGGTTGGAGATGCTTGGCTGCTGGCACGTGGTACCCAAAGCTGCCTTTGTTCCTTTAGGTGCAGAAAGTGCTCTGGCGACGCCGAGCAGTGAGCTGGGACCTGCAGGGGAACCAGGACACAGCCTCCAACCCAGAGGAGTTCCCCTTTGCCTCTTGGCCTTTTGCATGGCAGCTGCTGCCTGCCAGAGAAACTCCCTGGTGCCTGTTGGTGTGAGTTCAGACAGGTGGCAGCAACAGAGCTCCCAGTTTTTCCCTGGAGGAGGATTCTGGAGCGGTGGCGTCGGGCAGTGGTGGTGGAGATGCAGACCCAAGCCCAGGCCTGGCCCCATGTGAAAGGGAGTTTTCCCAGCCAGGCTGGGCTTCTCCATGTCCTCTCCTGGGCCAGCTGGGGTTCCCCTGGGCTGTGAGCTCCTGGCTACTGTGGCTGTGGCAAGGAAAAGAGGCAGGATGGCCAGCAGCCACAGGGATGTTTCAGAGCCAGCTTCCCTCTCTTCTCCCCTGCAGCCCTTGATAATAGCCACGTTTCAGATTTCACTGGGGAAGTGGGGTGGGACATCAAGACTGATGTGGTGCTCAGCCCCATTCCCACCTTGCAGCAGGGAGAGGAAAGCAGCTGCCCTGTTTGCCTCATGGGCAACCATTTGCCCACTCAAATCTGCCTGAGAGGATCCCAGCCTCTGCCCAGTGTCTGCACTGTGAAGATCAGCTAGAGAT